GCTGAGCTGTCTCCACCCCTGCCTGGAGAGGCCTAGTGTCCCAGCCTCACCCACCCCTGCCTGGAGAGGCCTAGTGTCCCAGCCTCACCCACCCCTGCCTGTGGGGGCGGAGTGCCCAGCCTCATCCAGTCCTCTCTGATGGCCGAGCTGCTGCCGGCAAGAACTTTGATCGTTTTCCTGAGGTCATTTTTACATGGTATTGATAGTGTCCTCGGAACATCCAGTGACTTCCCTTATGAAGAAGACTCCATCATTCACTCTGTTTTGTTTTGTTTTAAGAGTCTCACTGTGTAGCCGTGGCTAGACTGAACTATAGCTGGTTGTTTTTTACTCGTTGACTCTGTTGGGGGCGCACCACCCAGCTACCAAATAAATCACATGAAGTTTTACTCTTTCTTATCTTGGCTTGTTTCCAGCCAGCTTTTCTTAAATTATCCCATCTGTCTTTTGCCTCTGGGCTTTTATTTTTCTCTATTCGGTATGCCTTTCTTTACTTCTTACTCTGTGGCTTGCTGTGTGGCTGGGTGACTGGCCCCTGATGTCTTCTGCCTCTTCTTGCTTCTCTTCATTGTCTCTGCCTGGCAGCCCCGCCTATCCCTCTCCTGCCTCGATACTGGCCATTCAGCTCTTTATTAGACCTTCAGGTGTTTTTGGCAGGCAAAGTAACACAGCTTCACAGAGTGAGACAAATACAACATAAAAGAACATAACATGGAGCTGGAGAGATGGCTCAGAGGTTAAGAGCAGTGACTGTTCTTCCAGAGATCCTGAGTTCAATTCCCAGTAGCCACTTAGTGGCTCAAAACCATCTAAAAAATAGTGCCCCCTTCTGGTTTATAGGCAGAACACTGTAGACACAGTAAGTAAATATTTAAAAAAAAAAAAAAAAGAACACAACACATCTTTGTATCTTTTTGTTTGTTTGTTTTTTGAGACAGGGTTTCTATGTGGCTTTGGAGGCTGTCATGAAACTAACTCTTGTAGACCAGGCTGGTCTCGAACTCACAGTGATCCACCTGCCTCTGCCTGCCCCAGTGCTGGGATCAAAGGTGTGTCCAATGCCTGGCCACATCTTTGCATCTTAAACAAATGTTCTACAGCAACAACAATGTAACACACCTTCAACTAGTATTCTATAACATTGTACTGGCTTTCTAGACCAGCCTGGCCTCAGACTCAGAGATCCACCTGCTCTGCCTCCTGATCCCTGCTCTGCTGGGATCAAAGGGGTGAGCCACCACACTAGCTCTGTTGTTTGTTTTTTTAATTTATTTTATGTGCATTGGTGTGAAGGTGTCAGATTCCCCTGGAACTAGAATTACAAACAGTTGAAAGTTGCCATGTGGGTTCTGGGAATTGAACCCAGGTCCTCTGGAAGAGCAGCCAGGGCTCTTAACCACTGAGCCATCTCTCCAGCCCCACTCTGTTTGCTCTTTTGAGACAAGATCATATCCTGGACTGTACGTGGTACATAGACATATATGCAGGCAACACACACACATAAAATAAAACAACATGCCCCCCCCCAAGACCAGAGCCTGGGGAGACAGAGACAGCTCAGTCAGTAAGGTGCTAACTAACTGTATGAGCCTGAGGACCTGAGTTTGGATTCCCTGCACCCATGTAAAACTTCCAGATGTGGTGGCAACATCCATGGAATCCTTGTGCTGAGGAGACAGAGACAGAAGGAGCCCTAGGTGTCATTGGCCAGCTAACCCAGCCCAATTAGTGGGTTCCAGGTGAGAATCTCTGTCACAGAAAATAAAGTGGAAAGTGATTGGGAAAGACACCCAATGCAAACCTATGGCCTCCACACGCCAGTACACATACTTATATGTACACACATAAACGTACACACACACATATACTCACATACACACACATAGTCACACACACATATGTACAAACACACACACACCAAAACAAAAGACCAAAAAGCAGGGAAGCAGAGAGTGCAGTCTGGCTGGAAGGCTCCCTGAGGGCCCTGGGCAGAGTCTCTGCACAGAACCCATCTTCTTCCATTGGGGTCGGATTTGGAGAAAGAAGCAGGTGACAACTGGGATCAGAGAGAGACTGCTTTCTACAATTCAGAAGAACCTGCCTTGAGACCCATGGGTGTCTCCAGACCTGTGGCAAGTCATGCAATCCTGCAGCCAAGAGCAAGACTATTTGATCAAATGAGGCCTCTGTGGACCCAAGATGCAAACTTTGGAGCACTGGGCCTGGGCTCAACATCAACACAGCCCATTTCCTTATCAAAAAAATGTGGGTTTCAAAGTTGTATCGTGGTGTGGACCACAGGGTGATCATAGCTGCTAGCATTCCGACATTGCAGACCAGACTCCTCCAACACCTTTTAACTTACATTTTTAATGATTCTCACTGTTAGCGCATTTACCTTTGGGAAAGTTTGTGTAGGCTTTGGTAAAGGAGGAAAACGTGTACATTGGTAGCCTCTCTAAACAAAATAACCCTTTTGGGGAAAAAAATCCTCACCACCTTGGAACCAGGAATTCCACTGTGCCCTCCTAACGACACCACGAACAGGAATGTTAGATTTACTAGACACACCTGATTCCAAAGCCGCAGAGCCTGAGGCAATTGAAGGCCAGAGTTGAGTCCAGTTAACAATTACAGAGACATCAGAACCGTACGGTGTCATGGGGAAAGAGTAAGATGCCGGGACCTTCCCTGATGGGCGTGTTATGAGGGGAGCAGTTCCATATAGCAAGACTAAGAAATGACAGTATAATTAAGTGCCTGCTCCCCTGAAGTCTGTTCCCAAGGTCAGGCATTTGGATAAGGGCCTCCACTCCCTTCTGCGAAGCAGTCGTCCTGGTCTCTGGTAAGAGGAACTTGTGCCCCTTTCATGAACATATGACTGGCGCCCGCCCGTTGTCCAGGTGGGAGTGAGATTCTTCAGCCCCTCACCTCCCCAGTCCATCGCTTGCCCCTTTAATCTATGTGCAGCTATAGAGTACAAAAGCTGTGTTCTTTTTCAATAAACGCTGCTGGCAACCAGCGGAAGCATGTCTCCGGCACTATCTGGTGTGTAATGGCTAATCTCCCCCACCCCCAGCTCATCAGCCCTAGCTGATCTGGAACTCACTCTGTAAACCAGCCTGGCCTCACAGAGATCCACCTGCCTCAGTCTCCAGAGTGCCGGCATTAAAGGCGTGTGCCACCCCCACCTAGCAAGACCGTCTCCAATATATAATAATGACGAAAACACCTGGGGAGAGGCTGGAGATGCAGCTGTGTGGCTGGCTGGGTGGAGCGCTGGCCCTGGGCTTGAACCTAGCATAGCAGATGTGGCGGAAGAGAGTGTGTAGCTGTAATCCCTTCGCTCATGAAGAGAGATGAAGCAGGGGTCAGAAGTTCCCCAGAGCTCATTCAAGGATACGCTAGGCTATGTGAGACCCTGTCTTAAAGCAGCCAAAGGTGGGGGCTGGGTGAGTGAAGCAAAGGCTGTGTATATGTTTCCGGATAGGATTATAAGATGAGAGGATGAGCATGGAGCTGCTACCCAATAGGCATGAGAACAGAAAAGGGTATCAGAAAGAGAGGCCCAAGGCAGGTGATGGCGCTTGCCTTTTTTTTTTTTTTTTTTTTTTTTTTTTTTTTTTTTTTTTTTTTTTTGGCACTTGCCTTTAATCCCAGCCCTTGGGAGAAAGAGTTCAAGGCCAGATTGGTCTACTGAGCAAGTTCCAGGACAGCCAGAGCCATATAATGTCAAAGAAAATAAAAATAAAAAAGGAGGAGGAGAAGGAAAAAGAAAAAGGAGAGAAAGAGAGGCTCAGTAGTACACAGCTTTGTGTCTCCCCTGGCTATTACGATGAACATATTCCCACCGCCAGGACAGTCTGCTTGGCTTCAGACCAAGGCGATAGACCCAGTCCACCCTGGGTTCAAACCATGAGCCAAAATAAACCCCTTCTCCGTTTAAATGGCTTCTCCCAGGTGTTTGTCACAGCGAGGAATGACTAAGACAGCATGGTAAGAGGCTAGCCATGCGTGAAAGCCGACTGCCCTGCACGGACTGCCCTTCCTCCAACCTTGTGTCTGATTCTTTGAGACAAGGTGTTGCTTTATCACCCAAACTTACTTGAAACTCTTGACCCTCCTGTCTCAGTCTTTTGAAAGCTGAGATTACAGGTGTACATCCCCGTGTAAGATTAATGTCAGGAACAGATGGAGCGGCTAAATGGGTAAGGGCGCTTGTTGCCAAGCACAATGACCTGAGTTTGATCCCTAGGGCCCATATCTTAGAAGGAGAGAGTCAATTTCCAAAAGTTGGTCTCTGGCCTCTATACATCCCAACACCCCCACCCTAACACAAATAAATAAATAGTAACTTGGAAAAAAAATCAGGTAGCAAGAGCAAGAAAGTTTAAAGGTATTTGCTGCCCCAAAATGCAAGCCTGAGAACCTGAGTTCAAATCCAGGAGACCACAATTCTAGGAAGCTGCCCTCTGACCCTCCTCCACACATTAAAAATAAAAATAAATAAAAGGAATAGATGGGCACGGTGGGACTTGTTCCTGCGATCTCGGAATTTAGGAGGTCGAGGCAGGAGGATTACACTGAGTTCAAGGCCAAGCTGGGCTACAGTGTTCATGAAACCTTGTCTCTGAAAACAGTAAGGCTGGGGAGCTGGCTCGGCGGTTTCGAGCACACTCTGCTCTTGCAGAGGACCAGGCTCAGTTCCCAGCGCCCCCGTGGCGGCTCGGCTCGCACCTGTCTGGACAGCTCCGGATGAGAGCGCCGTCAATTGGGAAGTGGAGGCAGGAGGATGAGAAGTTAACACCATCCCCAACTCCCTCCAAACATCCTCACCGGGAGAGACGGGCGCAGCAATTCCGCCTGCATTTGAGGTCCAATACCACTAGGTGGCGAGAGTGTCCAGGCCACAGGCGCAGGCACCCCAGAGAGGGTCAAGCCCAGAGGATGGAGTCAGCGCCCAGTCGCGCTTGCTCTTTCTAGGCACAGAACAGGATGTGGTCCTTGGCACCAGACTGCCTGGATTTAAATAGCAGCTCCAAACTTTGCAGCTGTGTGGCTTTGCTCAAGTTACCTAACCTCTCTGATGGTTAGTGAGCACAGTCTCCCCGAGGTTCGCATGCCTTAAATTCAGGAAGAGCCGGGTTCGGTTCGGAGAAAGTCTCCGTTTGACAGTGTCTGTGTGTCCTGGGTAAGCCGCCTCCGGCCCGACGCTGGGTCCTAAATCCGGGCACCTCACAAAGGTTAAGGGATTCACGAAGGAGGTGTGGCTTCCCGACGTGAGTCACGGGCAGAGAAACCACAATTGCAGGGTCCGGACACCCTGGTCTTGGGACTCAGCTGGCAGTGGTCCCTGTGCACCGTGTGCAAGGTGAGGCCGGCTGGCGGGGACCAGGGGGTGGTGGGGAGGAGAGGGCAGAGGGGCTGAAAGTCTGCCCCACAGCACAGCCTGCTGCAGAAAGTAAACACTGCACCGGGCAGCTGGCCCAGCCAGTCACAGTCCCGCTCCAGCTCGCCCAGGCTCTAAGGGGAGCAGGGAGACAAGGAGGCCGCAGCTCCATCACGGCTCAGAGACCTGTTTTTAGCCCGGGACTGGGGGTGGGGCGGGGGAAGAAAGGAGTTGTCTTCTGACCTCCACACGTGTAGAGAGCCACTTGGGCTCAAACGCACAGATGATTCATGCCACGCACACATAGAATAAGACCAGATAATTTTAACTCTCAACATCGTGGAGCACACCTTTAATCCCAGCACTCGGGAGGCAGAGGCAGGAGGATCTCTGTGAGTTCAAGGCCAGCCTGGTCTACAGAGCAAGTTTTAGGACAGCCAGGGATAACATGTCTTAATAAAAGTGAAAATAGTAATTTTTGAGAAATTAAAACAACAACAGAACCCAAAACTGGGCATGGTGGCACATGCTTGTAATCCCAGCGCTCCAGAACCCAGGGAGAGGTCAGAAGCTGAACTGGGCAGTGGTGGCGCTCACACGCCTTTGATCGCAGCAGAGGCAGGCGGATCTCTGTGAGTTCCAGGAAGCTTGGTCTACAGAGAGAGTTTCAGGACAGACAGGGCTGTTTTCAAGACAGAGAAACCCTGTCTCAAAATAAATAAATAAATAAAAACCAAAAATAGAGGGTGAGTGGGGAGACAGCCAGGGCCTCTGTGTGTAGAGCTGAGGCGTGGCTGGGGTTGAATTCACACCTTAGCAGCCAAAAAGCTGGAAAAAAAAATGAGAACACACTCCACCACACACTCCATCCCTGTATAACCCAAAATAAAATGTTGCAGGAACCGACATGGACTGTCCACGCTTCCTAAATTAGACCAGCTTCCTTCCAGAGGGTCTGACTGCAGAGCTGCCTTCAGAGATGAACCTGACCCACCTTCCTGTTCTGTCCCTGTCGCCTCCCTCCCTCCCTCCCGTGTGCCACCCCCACCTTCCCTCTGCCTCTGCAACCAAGGTTTGCTTTTCCAAACATTTCCCACTCTCTAGTGTCCCTGCCTCCTGGCTTTCCTCAGCCCGGTAAGATGTGACCCCGGTGTTTTCTTCCCTCCCTCAACTCCAAACCTCCCTCTGTCCAAGGCTTCCTCCCTCAGACTTTGTGCCTCGTAGAGCATGGGGCCAGGCGCGGCTGTCCCTGAGGACAGTGAGACACAAAAGACATGTGGACAGTGCTGAGCAGGCGTGGGAATGAATACACCAGTGAATGAATAATGGATTGGTAACTGACACTGTGTGTTAGGCCCAGGAGAGGGGCAGGCAGAAGGCAGATTTCAGTCCCTTCTTACAGATAGTGAAAAGGCTTGTGGGGAAGAAGGAAGGGGGCTTGAGTTCTCTCTCTCTCTCTCTCTCTCTCTCTCTCTCTCTCTCTCTGAGACAGTTGAATGTATCTTCCTAGAGTGGTGTTGTACAGTTGAGGGTGATGTTCAACTTTTTTGTTGTTGTTTTGTTTATTTTTCTTTGGAGGGTGGTGGTTTATCTCTAGCTATGGAGCCTATCCTGGCACTCGCTTTGTAGACAGGCTGGTCTCGAACTCACAGAGATCCTCCTGCCTCTGCCTCCCTAGTGCTGAGATTAAATTCATGTGCCACCCTGCCTGGCCTCCTGTTTGATTTTTAAGTGGCCCAAGCTGACCTTAAACTCTCTGTGTGCCGGCGCTGTCTGCCATTGAGTGACAGCACATGCGCTGTCAGGAAATCTGGCACTTCGGACTCCTCTGGCATTATTATATTATTATTATTATATTATTATTATTAAGAGAGCTTACTGTCTTTTCTCTCTGCCTTCTCAGCCCTCACCCTGTGGGCTCCAATCTGTCTCCATGAAAACACTTTCCCACTGAGCTAGGCCAGTGCTGGCAAAGGGAGGGGCAGGGTTTCTAGCTTTTTCCTCCTCCACAGCTCTGTAGGAGCCTTCGCCTTGCAGAAGCCAGGCAGTGGCGTCGAAGGCCTTTAATGCTTGCACTTGGGAAGCAGAGACAGGCAGATCTCTATGAGTTTGAGGCCAGTGAGCCTGATCAATAGAGTAAATTATAAGACAGCCAAGGCTACACAGGGAAACTATGTCTTACTTTTTGGGGGAGCCTCCCCCCAAAATAGCCTTTGTGGGCAACCAGCCTCTTGACGTGAAGACAGTCCTGTATGGGGGGTGTTCCGCAGCACTGGGAGCGCATACAGTTGTGGTTATGAAGCTCCATGTCCCCCACCCACTAGGCTAAATGCTTTCCATACTTTGGCCCCAGCACCCTGCCAGGAAGTGTAACCACCATCACTGTCAGTATGAACCGAGAGCCCTGGGTGTGTCAGTGGCTTCCCTAGATCTCAGACACTCTACTTAAATACCTTGCCACACGAGGCTGAGTCACAGAGGGTTCGCAGGGGAGCCAAGTGAACTGTGTCCCACCCATGCGAGCCTCACACCTTTGCCCGGGGCTGATGGGAAACTCCAGGTTGAGGTGTGGGGAACAGGAATTGGGAGGTGGTGAGGCTGGAAGAGAGGGTGGGCCTCATCTGCCCCAGGCTACTGAAAGCAGGTGCTGACCTTGCCTAACAGTTCCCGGACTCCTGTGCCATCTGGCTAGCCAGAATTTCAGCCATCCTTCAGCACCTCTAGCAAACCTTGCGGGACAGCTCTGCCCAGAGCCCTGCAGCCTTCTCTATTGTGGCTCCTCAGAAATCCTCCAGGCCCTCAGTGCCAAACTGGGACTGCCAGGCACCCAGCCTCATGGAGCAGCTTCTCTGGCACGACGACGGCCTGTACTGTGTAAATCAAGCAACAAGCCCCTTGGTAACGGACAGTCATTTTATCGCTCTGTTCCCTAGTCAGTATACACACTTGACTGTCTGGTCCAGCCCTAGTGTAGGTTCTGCCCTATGGCCTGCTAGTAGGTGTTGTCTTCCTCTAGGCTCTTAGGACCTAGTTTGGAACCAGTGATCAGGGAATTCTTTTTTTTTTTTTTTTTTTTTTTTTTTTTTTTTTTTTTTTTTTCCGAGACAGGGTTTCTCTGTAGCTTTGGACCCTGTCCTAAATCTGTCTGTAGACCAGGCTGGCCTTGAACTCACAGAGATCTGCCTGCCTCTGCCTCCCGAATGCTGGGATTAAAGAGGTGTGCCACCACTGTCCCACTGCTCCGAGAATACTTACCAAATGAGCAAGGACTGTACAGCATTCTTCTGAGGCTCTGACATAGAGAACTGCAGAGCTCACAGTGAGGGTTCACCACCAGGGTATTCAGGAAGTATAGACACACGCTGATCAGCTCAGGGGTACAATAAAGAGAAGTGAAGTCTGCGGCAAACCGGGGTCAGCACTGGAAGTCTAGTGTTCTAAATCAGCCTCACCCAGTCTGGTCCTGGCCAGTCCTGTGTCGTTTCTCTTCTCTCCAGACCTGTCTTCAATCTTGGGCTTACCACTTCAAAATGCATTCTCCTACCCTGTTCAACACCCAGTTCTCTCCTGAGTGTGAGCCAGGGAAGGAGACCAGGCTGGCCTCGGACTCACAGATTGCCCTGCCTCTGCCTCCCGAGTGCTGGGATCAAAGGTGTGCACCACCACCACCCTGGAGGTAGTCAGCTTTGTCCTACGGAAGCCCAGCTGTCTCACTGCTCAGTGCCTGCTTTACGGCAGGCCCAGCAGACACAGTGCATGAATCTTCCCCCTTAGACCCCACTTCTGGGGCAGAAGTCTGCTTCCTGGAAGCATCTGGGGGTCACTTTTTAGATTCCAAGTCACAGAAAGCCTCGGAGAAGGCCTTGAGTAGCCAGCTGAACGGGAACTGTGACCAGAGGGTCCCCACAGGTCTTGGCAGAGCTGAAGGTGGGGGTGGGCCATGAGATAGGATGGAAGAGAATTCTCTCTCTCTCTCTCTCTCTCTCTCTCTCTCTCTCTCTCCCTCACCCCC